TATGACAGTTTTCTTTAAAACGTCCTCCAGGAAAGCATTCCTTATACAGCTAGTCCTTGTGTGGTTTCTTTTTCGAATAAGTTACATTAAACTACATTTCTACTTTATAAAGGCTCTCTTGTTTTTCAATATGAAAGAATTTTAGTTCAGTCAAAACTCAATTTTATCTAGTAAATGAAAATTATTTAAGAAACTTTACAAAAGTGGTGTAATTTAAATTTTCCGTCCAAATTCATTTACATCGTATTATAATTCATGCATTCTTCAATATGCTCGTGTGGCAAGTTGCGGCTATTTTTTACGAAAGCCATTGAATCAAAAATACTAATTATGCCGCCAAAAATTATGCAAATATTCAGAATCGAATATGCAAGCGTACATGTCGTGTCTGCGGAGTTGTGATTTTGGAGAGGATATAAGCACACGAGGGTTTCCAGCGATTTGTGTACCGGTACTATTTCCCGACATTCATCGCGTTCCTCGCAATTGTTAAGTAAATTTTAGGAATAATTATTGGATAAATTGTGAGGTATAATGAGTAGCCACATATGTATCAATAACCGAATGAGATGGAAAATGGTCAATAGATTGGTCAATCACAGGCACTGGTAGCTACAGATCTTTATGTAATGCCATCCGTCGTTTGCAGTTTGTGGGAACAGTTGTAGGACATTGAATCCTTATCAAGAAGACCTGGACAAGGTCGACTAAGATCAACAATAACAAATGAGGATCGTTATTTGGCACTTTCACACTGCGATACAGAACTGCTACAGATTTACAGCTCTCACGGAGGCTGTATACAGCCAATGGAACCTGAGTTTCAAGTCTACAGTTTCTCGAAGGCTTCATGAAGTATGGCTGTATGCCAGAAGACTCCCTGTTTAAATCCCGCTCACTGCAGCATGCAAAGCGCATTTAGCATGGGGCAGAGAACATGTCCCTTGGACCAGACTTAAGTGGAACACTAGGCTTTTTATAGATGAGTCGAGATTCAGTATGAACACTGATTCTCGGCCTACATGTAACTAGAGAGAGCCTGAAATATGATACCAACCCTCCCTCATTTAGGAAAAGGATCATTTCGGTGGGGAAAATGTAATTGTTTGGATAGACACTGTGTTGGACGGCCGCATACCCGTGCATGTGTTTGACAAAGGTTTCCTGACTGTCATGAAGTATCGAGAGATCTTGGAGTCCTATATTCGACGTTTTAGGGGCTCATCGGGTCCTGGGTTCCTGTTAATAGGCGACAACGCATGTCCACATAGGGATCAGGTGGTCGACGGTCATATGGAAAGTGAGGATATTCAACGCATGGCCTGGCCAGCCAGATCTCCTGTCCTTAAACTATACAGCATATATGGGACGCTCTGGGAGGGCAATTTCATCTCGCCATTCCGCTCCGAGAATTATCCCGGAGTTGAAAACTGCGTTATTGCAGAAGGGGAATCAATTGCCACAAGAATTTCTCAACTGCCTTCTGTCCAGTATGCTGTCGTAACGCTGCGTAAGCTGTCTAGCTGTGAAAGAGGATCATACCCCATATTAGATTCCTTTTCAGTCTGATATCACAGCATAGATTTTGGACATCCCTGCACAATGAGCTTTACTAATCAATATGCTTATGTAAAATGACATTTTGAATGGTACATTACTTTCTGTGTTATGAATGTATATTCCTTCCTAATTTCAATAAAGTAACTGAAATTAGTTACGTAAGCATATACAGTATTAAAATTTATGTGCTAAACGTTTCCGAAACCTCGGTAGGACTTTTATTTTTGAAGTTCTTGTAAGATACATTTCTATCACACAAGAAAACATATGAGATATGATTTTACATAGAATCTTGCCGAGCGGTTACGTGTAATTAAATGGATATGAAAAAAATTAAATGGAATATTTTTTAATTATTTTTTTATGTATGGCAGTTTTATATTTTCCTTTTGATATAAACATATTGATAAAAGTAATAAATTGCCCTTTTTCAATCTAACTTTGTATGTGATAGCTGATTACACAATAATGCCATGAAATAACATAGGTAAAATAAAACTCTTCGGTATATTTCATTATTTTTAAAGGATTTATATTTTGATATACATAGCAGATTTAAATAAACATCGTTTTTGGAAACCTCTTTTCATGTTTAAAATCTGCGGAAATGTAAACGATACACTAAACGTATGTGATTTTTATTTTGAATATCTTATTGGAATTGATTTCAGTTTACTATACAGTGGCGACATCTTTTAACATTAATGAAACGTAAAAATAAGTTTAAACTTTGATATTATAAACGTTATAAAATGCATATTTATCATTATATTTAACCGTACAGTTTTCCACATACTTCTGCAAAATTGTGTTCTGTATTCAAAAATATGAAATATCTTATTTACATCAACCTGTATATGGAAATGAATAAACATTATCTATATTTTAAGACGTATTAATCATAGTCTTTGGACGGTTTGTATTATAATTTGCAGGTGCTTATTTTGAAATGAAAGTCAATGTAAATTTCATTGTATATATAGAACGCCATCATGATGAAGTCATGAAATTTAAGCACAAGATTTTCACAGGATTTCAGTCCTTTGCAGTATGTTATTACGCTATTAGACAGCAGCATTTTTATGGGATTTACTTTTAGTTATGTAGAAAAAATGCGAGTAGTTATGTTTCAATGTATGTTTAAAATCAGTTAATTGTTAAATAAATATTTAAACATATGTAAAAGTTCTTGTTCTAGTGAAATAAGCAGTTTCATTGCAACAGAACTGTTGCCTTCTCTACATGTAAGCACGAAATCGTATGTGTCTTCTTATTATATGATACTAAAATTGTAGCTTTTATCATTTTCTTAAAAACATTTTACATTATTCTACTCGTCGAATACTGCTACTAATTAAATTCGTAGCGAAGCGAACATTTAAATATTCTATTCAATCACTTGAGTTTATTTCAAAGAATACTAAGTGAAATTTAAATATCCTCTAAACCTGATAATTTCTCATCATAATGTGTTTTAATTTTTATGCTTAAAAATTGTGATTTTTATTTAAAAGTATGCGTACTCTGTTTCGTACTTTCATTCATCGCTGTGGGGCGCTGCAAGACTCATCTAATGCATCATATTTCGCTACAGAGTTTTAAAGAGAAACGCAGAAAATTCATAAGCAGAAATTTTCGTTCCTTAAATGAATTTTGAGAAGAATTGTTTAATTTTGGAAGTGCTGTTATATGCTTTCAACATATATGGCATCTGCAAAGGTATGTTAAGCGTTTTTAATTTTTTATTTATAATGATTTAAAATAATAGCAAAATAACAGTAATTTGAATCAGCAGTTCCAGTAAGATACATTTCATACTCTAGAAATAAATAACTTCTGGAAAAAAAAATTAATTAAAAGATCTAATTTAATAATGTATTGTTCAGAGATTATTATCAAATTGATTTATTATTAATTCATATATTAAGAGATTGTATCCTTTAAACTGTTTTCCTTAATCTTTTAATCTTTAACCTGTGTAATGTGCCAAAATATTGTTGACGTTGTTTAAAGTATTTTCCTGTTCGTTTCAAATATTCGTTTATTTCTTATATGTGTTTTTCTTTTTTTCATGTGAAGCTAATGTTGTTGTTGATCCTCCAGTTCTGTATCCGCTCATGGTTCCAACTAATCCGTCGATTGGAGATAATGCCGAAATGCTATGTTCTCTCAAGAGAGGAAGTTTACCGATCAATTTCAAATGGCTTCACAATAACAGAGATGTAACAGCCGTCAGCAAATACAAAATAGTCACTACAGATAAAAGCTCTCATTTCTCTATAGGAAATATACAGGCATCGGATATTGGCAATTATACCTGCGCAGCCAAAAATAATGCAGGTGTCGACAAAAAAACCGCTAGCATTGTAATTGAAGGTAAGAACGAAAATTAGATTACTCTTTCAGAAATGGAAGTTTATTTTAAATAGAATTCAATAATTGGATGTATGCATTTAAATACATTATGAGCATAATAAATTAAAAATTCTACGTTGTACGACATGCTTTTTACCAGATGAAAATGGCTGAAACCTACTCTGTGATTTTACTCCAAACTTATAAAATGTAAGAATTTTGAATATACATGTTGTCTACGTTTTGAAATTATGATACTTAAACGTTTTTTGTAATTAATCCTAGAAATTCTTTTCAGCTTTCTGTATTGTTATTCTGTTACATTTTTGTTACACTGAAGTGTTTGAAAATGCTTATGTATAAATTATTGTCTCCTTCTAATTGAAATAAATACACTTTGTAGAATTAGAAGAGCTTATCTTAAATTTCTGTGTTTTATTTCGCAGTTTCTTTAAATATTAAAAACATTATGTCAACTTACATATGTTTAATACTATCCGCCCGTCATTTCCCATTTTCTTCTGCGAAATGTTCGTTAACTGTTAATTTTATTTTCATATTTTATCTGAAACTCGTTATTAACACGATTTATTATGTGATCTACTTTCCTTCTTTAATTATACGTTTTTACTACATATGAATTTGCATAGTATATGACACAAATTTTGCGTTCTGGCGATTACAGAAATCTAACTATAAATTTATTGTATAATGGCATATCATAAATTACTACTTTACTTTTTTTTTACTATTGCTTAAGCTACAGTCTCGCTTAATCTGCTATTAATTTTCTTATATAAAACATAAATTGTACCACTAATATTTATTTTTCAACTTTGGCTTAGTTGTTCATATCGCAACTTTTACGAATGAAAAAATATTTTTTTTATAAAATTCACATTTTTATTACGGTTTATATTCGATTTTGCCTTATTAATGATAAATAACACATATATAATTATATACTTACTGAAGTATTTACAGTGCTTACTTATGTCAAGAGAGATTTTTAATCTCATGTTTCGATATGTGGCGCTACAGTCAAGCTTCCCTTTAATCGACTCATAACATATCAACTGGAGGAAAAAAAGGAGGTAACTGAAAAATCTCATGCAAAGACCTTCTCAACATAAACATTTCTGTTTTTTATTAATGCTGATACAGTCTTAATCTCAACTATAGGAATGATATTTGTTTACTTCTCAATCATCTTTTATCTGAAAAGTTATCAAGGTAAGTGATTACTTATTATTTTTGCATTAGTAGTGTTAGCATCGAATGCTTATATGCAGTGTTTCTTATACAAACCTGTAATATCTGTACCGCGTATTTTATTAATATTTATTAGCCACAGTCCTGTTTTAAACCACCATTAAGATCTTTAACTCCTAAAAATTTCCTTTTCGATGTAGAAAATAATAACTGCATGATTTGCTTAAACGAAGTAAGGGTTCAGAGAAGAATATTTCAAGCTTTAATATGAGTTATTTAAGTATTCTTGAAACAATTTTTCTGTTTTGAAAAATATATGTAATTAGAAATAAAAAACACTTCACATTTATAATTTTAGTTTTTTATTACTAAGCTGATAACTAAGTTTGATTACACTATGTTTTTCCCCTTTTTTCTAACAGCTTCAGAATTGACTCACGAATCTCCTGTGCTGTATCCTTTAATGGTACCATCCAATCCAACACTTGGTGATGATACAGACATTCTTTGCAAACTGAGAAGAGGAACTGAACCTGTAAAGTTTCAGTGGTTTCATGATGGCAAAGAAATTTCTTCAGATCGCAAGTCGAAAATTACAACATCTGAACGCAGATCTGTGTTTTCAATGGGAAATATCGAAGTGACGGATATTGGAAATTACACTTGTGTAGCTACAAATGCTTACGGTAGAGATTCAAAAACTGAAAGTGTTCTTATAGAAGGTACTTTACAATGTTACAAGGCATTAATTTCATGTTAAATCCTTTTTTTATAATTGTTTAGGTTACTCCGTTTTAGTATTATGCTATATTTATCAGAAGGGTAATTATATATATATATTTAAGTTACTTTCTTGAAGCGAACTGTCGAAATCTTAAGTATTTTTACAACAATCCGGTATGAAGGCCTTTATCTGTAGTAAATTATAATTTTTACTTTTCTGAGATAAGCTGATATTTTAACCGTATTTGAAATAAATTGTTTAATCCGCTTATTTCTCGATCTCTGTATTAGCTCATTATTTTTAAATCCGAAATTATATTCACAAAATTGTGCATCTAGCATTTTAATAATATTATTTTATAATATATTACACTTATGAATGCCTTTATTTTCAATTTGCGTCTCTATTTTATTATGGCTACAGCAAATAAATTATATCTAAGCTTTAAAATAAGGACACTATACGGCGCTACTGTGCACTGTTCTTTGCAGCAAAGTCCTGAAAGCAAAAGAAAAAGCGTCTACAAAATGTAAGTTAGTGATGAATAGTTAGTCATATTAATTGTATTTCATTATGTAAATCTTACATCTTATCATGGTAATATACGACACTAATTCTCTTTGTTTCTTTGATTCCAGACAACATACATGCGAACGACAGAAAGATGAAAATGAATGTTTATTGGCTGCTATTTGGTCCTGTAAATGTAGTCATTTTGTTTTTACGTATCATTCAAGGTAAGTAGAATCAATCGTTTCTCAAAATCAAGCTGTGGCTGGTATATTTAGAACAATATTTTTACTTTTAAATTTGTTTAAAATTCAAAGCACTGTTCCTAGAATTAATATTTTGGAAATATCCTAAGTGATGACTTCTAACTTTAAACGAAATTTTTTATGAATAAATATTTGTAGTAGAATGATATTAAAACAAAATTAAATGCTACTTCCAATTGAATTGTAAACGCGTAATAGACCCCAGTCATGATACTTCGCAAATATTTGGATATAACTTTGAATAAATTGTCAAAAAAATGAAATAAAGTTTTTGAATAATGTTTTTGAAACTCTATTTCATTAGTTAGTTCATAAATTCATTAATTCATAAATATGTATTTTGATGAAGTTTATTAATTTGTTTTTGTTTGCTGTAAAACTCCATTAGATAGATTTCACGAGTCATATATTTTCCACATTTTCCGTTTTCACATAAAGCGCTGTTTAGATCTGTTAATTTAAAAACTTAGACATAAATTATTTCTCTGTAGAGAGAAAATACTTAATCTTTTCAGTACTAATATTTGTTTTTCATTCTGAAAATCTGAAATTTGTAAAATATACCGATTTGTATTTAGAATGAAAGAGTAAAAGGTAAGGAAAAAAATGCTAAATTTTTTCATTAAAAGTCTAAATATTTCTAAATAACATCATTGGGAATGAAGTGGTGAACAAGTCAAAATGGAAATGATACCATAATAATCATTGCGAAGGGATGCAAAATAATTTTAATATATATTTAATATATTTTTAAGAAATAACGTACTTTTAAAAAAATGAAATAACTAAATATATACTTAATTGACATAGTAGCAAATGCTTAACAACAAATTTCATTAAAAGAACTTCACTATTTAAACACTATTATTTATTTTATATGAAAAGCTTTGAAAAAAATGTATTGCGAAGTGCATCTAATAGTGGCCTAATTTTAAACTCTATTTCGACCAGGTTGGTTATATGATATATTTTTAATGTCGTTGACGTGAAGATATTGTCTCAAAGCTTGAGAGTAATTCTCAGATATATTTTTTGGAATCAAGGGCAATCTTGTTCATGGACCCAAGGCCAATCATGAAATGAATTCCTAGGAATACTTCCACTGCAGCTTTATTTGTGTTTTCTGAATTTGCTATTTTTTACATGGATATATATAATAGTTCCATTGACCAAATTATGAATTAAATTGTCATCACACAAAAACGTTTTTAAGTATTCACATGGCGTACATAATTCAAGCAGTGTAACTAAAAATTCTCCTTGAAATACAGAATCAAAGTTCTCACGATCGTTTTGTACCCAAAGAACAGTTCCAATCAGTTTATTTTATTTAATTATTCATTTTCTTTCTTTTTTTCCTTATCTTGTATCTTACTAACTGGATCAGGATTTTTACAATTATACCATTTTACCATTTCATAATTTATAGTTCATCACCCTCCAAATTATTTTTATATTCAATATCTATAACTTTTTATGTTTCTCTTCTACTTTAATTTCAATTAATTTATTTCCAACAAATATATATTTTAGCTATATCAGATGACTGATTACTAACTCCATTTAAGATTTCATCCTTAGAAAAACTACTTGTAACACTTTCGCTATTTCCTTATCTGATCTTCCAAGTCAAAATTTTAAAAATCTCCATTCATCAACAAATAAACTATCTGATCAATGATGAAATTTTTGATTTTTGTTTTGATATTTTGAAAAATATCACATAAAACCATTTTGATTTTTAAGGTAGAGAGGGAAAAAATTGTAAACTTACTTAATTTATTTTAAAATTTATAATTTATTTTAAAATTTAAAATTATTTATTTAAAAAATTTAAAACTAACTTATTATAGACTTATTATTACTGTTATTCGTTTTAGGATTAATTTTTACCGTTTAAACACATTTAAGAATTTCATTCCCAACTGCGTTAGTTTAATAATAATAATAATAATAATTAGAAGTAGAAAGCTAGCAAACGAAAAGGTAATCTCTTAAATAGTTTTTCTTGTAAATTTCAAATTATTCTAAAATTTTACTTGTGAAATACGAAAAGTTTTTCAGTCTTAGTGAAAATATATTTTATGAAATACCCTTTTCTTCAAATATTTGGAATAAATAATGTGTTTTAGAAGCAATATAACAAAGTTAGGATAGTCAGTTTACATTATGTATTGCATTCCGTATTCCCCCTAGCGTTCTAGTGCTAGGTTCTGAAAATTTTAAAAATATTTGCATATTTTCTCCCTTACTCTATTTACATAGCTTTCCCCCTCTAAGGTTTTTTAATTAGTAAATTGCTTTTCCTTGATTATTTCTAGTTTTATTCAATTAATTTATCACTTTGTATTTATATTTTTGCATTTATTATTTGGAAAGTATTTTGTGCTGTTTCTTCGTTAAGCTACCTTGTCGTCGCAGATGTTATCAGATTTAAGAAACTTTCCAAACATGTGATTTCATCTTACACTGTTATTTACGTTCCAGATCATTGTATTCTTATTTGTTGCTGATGTGTTCGATCTTTCGAAATTCGAGTCTTTTCTTCTTCCCTTTCTTCTTTCTTCCTCCGATGTCCCTCTTGGCAACTGTGATAAAAACTTATTTATATGACATGCCCCTGGAACGTTCCATTTCAAAATTTTCTTCTAATTATTATTTTATATTTGTTCTAATTATGAATAAAAACTGAGCTGTATATAACATTTAGCAGTTTAACATATATGAGCACAAACTACTAATTTAAAAGCTTAAAATGTTAGTGTAATAAGAATGTCCGTGGCTGAAACTACGAGTAGTAGTGTGACAATGCACTTTTTATGAGTGCAATTAAAACTATTCATTACTATTTAAATATTTAGAATTCGTATACAATATTTGATTAAAAAACAGTTTTAGGAAAAACTTCCTAAATAAATAACACAGAAAGAAAGAAAATATTTACTCTACACAAAGATAGTAGCACAAAAAGTAAAATATTTTCTCTTTTTATTGTGCATCGTATACATTTTTTGAATATTTATGAACTAGTGAATTTAGTTATAATGTTTATCAACTAAAATTAGTTATTATCGTAATTTATGTTTGTGTCATTAATTTTAGAAACCTTAATCATTCAACCTTTTAGATACCTTGCTATTAATTTTAATACTTAAGTTTACTTAGTTGTTTAGTTGCACCTTACTTGCAACTAAAACAAATAAGCTCAGTTTGTTAATTGATCTTCACGAATATCATTCTTAATTCAACTAAATTTTTGAATTAGTATCCATTTAATTCACCTAGATTTATAATGTTATCAATATTAATGCACTGCTTGGATGCAAATTTGTGCAAAATGCCACTGTTTTTTCAAACTTATGCTAGTAACCTGTTCTTACAGCATGCTGCTCTGGAGATCCCCCTGTTCTTTATCCATTGATGTTACCTTCAAACCCTTCCATTGGAGACAGCACTGACATTCTCTGTAGTCTTAAACGAGGAGCTCTTCCTATTCAGTTCAAATGGATGCACAACAGCAAAGATATAAATTCATTCCCCGATGTGAAGATATCAATTTCAGACAGGCGTTCCTTGCTTCAGATCAGTGCTTTACATGCTATTCACATAGGGAATTACACATGTCAAGCTAGTAACGTGTTTGGTCACAACAGTCAAACTGAGTTGCTTATTTTAGATGGTATGTGCGTTGAATTAAATAAAATAAATTTCATAATATAAAATTCTGAGTATCCGTGCTGCAATTTGATTACGATTTTCCATCAAATATTAGATATTTGATTTTTAGTATTTACTTTATACATTTTATGCATTTTATGTTATTAGTTACCTTAATATTCGATACCAAATACTTTGAAGTGCTGAGGGGAATGTATTTGCAGTTATTCTCATTATTTCTGTTAATTATTTCTGTTAATTATTTCTGTTGTTTCCTTTATGAATTTTACAAAATTCAGTAGAATATCTGAAGTTTATTAATTTAAACTATTATATTTTAAAATAAAATTTCGAAATAATTGTTCGAGTATTTTCATAATAAAAGGAAATTATACATTTTATATTTAATGTTCTTCCTTATTATCGATATTATACTATAGTACTCGTAAACCGTGACCGAAAGAGCACTGCTACTGCTCCAGTATGTGGCGCCCCACATCAGAGAATATACTTCATAAAATCATTCACAAACAACTCTTTTGCGGAATAGGTAAGTGAATATTACTTGATTTTATTTTATAAGAAAATAAATGCAGATTTATAGCAGATTGACATCATATTCTTCTTGTTTCATATCCTATTTTATATGAATAGGTGTTAAACTCGATTCATTTTAAATTGATTTTCTTTAAAAATATTATTATACTTACTACTTTATTTTTGATTTTAGATGTATTCAATTAATATTTTGCATCAGAAATTTCTACCTTAGTCTTGAACGAAAAAGAATGTTACTCAGCTCATTTCTGTTTGTTTCCATATTTTTGAGCTCTCAAGGTAAGATAGTTATGATGAAATTTATTTTTAAGAACTTATGTATTTTTTAACGTACACGTTTAATCAGATTTCTCAGGGTTTTGTACAGGAAAGTAGTTAAGATTATCAATTCAATAACTTTATTAATTTAATACGTTAATTCTATATTAGTAGATTATGGTAACATTCTATATCTTGTATTTATTTTAACATCAACAATTTTAAGAAAATGCGTTTGTTAAATATTTTGAACTGTTTTTCATGTAAAATATCTGCACGCATTTCATATGTATTAATTCTTTCTACTAAGGTATGCAAGAACCTCCTATATTACATCCCCTCAACATACCTCCAGACCTTGGAATAGGAGATAGTCTAGATATTATATGTAGCTTGAAAAGGGGAAGCATCCCTGTAACATTTGAATGGAAAATAAATAATCGAGTTCCTGAAAAAAGAGTTGGAATTCAAATCAATACATCACAAAAAAGATCTGTTTACATTATTGATAGTATATCAGCATCTGACGTTGGAAATTATTCATGCACTGCAACCAATAACGATGGTTCAGATCAAGTTCGAGGAAACTTAGATGTTGAAGGTATAAACAAATTACCTATGATTATCTTAATTCCCCAAAATAATATTAGTCGAACTTTAATAAAAACCTCTAGTCTATTTTTAGAAAATCAATTAAATATATTGCATACATATGTAGCATGAGTTTTCTTTATGTGTGACTTATTTTCTTATAAGATTTGCTTTCTGGTGTCATAGCTCTTTATTTTGAGAAAGTGCATTGATTTGTTTTAATGAATTTAAATTTTTATCAGTTTATTTTATTGGTGTCATCAATTGCATTTAATTATATGAACAAGTTTTTCTTCATAATATACGAATAATAACGAAGCAAAACTCAACTGTAATCTGGCAACAAGCTTAGAATATAGCGCTAATGTAGCACTGGTGCTTCTGCTTATCATATGTTTTCGGAATATCTTTAGAAAATAAAAGTTAAGGATACAAAGAAAAATGCAGGTATGTATGATTTCAAAATAATAAGTTTGATGCTTATTTTCTTTAATTAAAATTGCTTAAAATAATTTTTTACTTGTTCTCAACAGAATACAGACATTAAACAGCGTTATCATCCCACCAAGTTATCTTATCTGATGTTTTTGCATGATTTCTTAATATACTTGTGCTTGCTGCTAATAAAGAATACCATACATGGTAAGAACAATTCTGCTTCTTTCAAATAACAATCATACAGGAGTATGCATACTATAGAAAACTCATTAAAGTAGATACATAATGTGATTGCTATAGATGTACGACGTAGGTAAATAAATACTGAATTAAGCTATGAAATTTTAAACTACGCATGTATACTTAAATATCTTTTTATTATTCAAGAACATTTCTTTCATAATATGAATTTCAGCTGAGTATTTAGTAAATATAGGATAATAAATATCTGAAGACCTATTTCATTTTCCTGAAAGTTATCTGAGGTAATCATATAATATAACATTGAATTTCATTATGTCTAAATCTTCTGAGGAATTGCATCACAATAAGTAACTCTTGGAATATTTAGTTCAAAATGTAATAGGTTTGAAGAGTTTAAAACAAAAAATATATTTTTTTTTCTATTAAATAATAGAAAGAATAAATTATTTTTTAATAATTATTGTACCTGAATATATGAATGCATTAAAATTAAAAAGGGAAGTAAGTGAATTTTAAGTTTTTATAGAGAACTAATAATTCCTAATTTCAAAATTAAGTGGATAAACTATTTTTCTTTCAGCACAAGCTACTGGAACACCAGTTCTTCATCCACTGCTTATACCTCCAGATCTTGGGCTTGGAGACAGCCTAGATATAATATGCAGTTTGAAAAGAGGGAATACACCCGTAAATTTTGAATGGATTCTCAACAATAAGAAAGCTACTGATGTATCAGGCATAAAAATTAATACGTCTGAAAGAAGATCTGTTTGTATTATTCAAAGTATAAGATACGATCATATTGGTAACTATACTTGCAAAGTATCTAATGTTGATGGGTATGATGAAGCTCATACTGAACTTAAAGTTGAAGGTAATAAATGAAGTTACATTAAAGAACATATTCTTGTCCTCTACGTATAACAAACATATAACTGTATTAATTCAACGAAGTTTCTTCATTTAACAGAAATTTTTTCTATGTGTTTTAAAAGATATGTTTTGCATAAAACATTGCAAAACGTTACATGTAACAATAATAATGTTTTCGATGGGCAAGGCATTTAAATGTCGATAAAGAAAAAACTCCTGTAAATGCTTATTAGTAATCGAAAGTTCAGTCACTTACATAGTTTTATATGAAATTTTATTATTTCTGTTGAAATTTTATGATAAAACCGTTTTAACTCTCCACTTCTACGATATGTGGCGCTGCAAACAAGGTGAGTTTTCGAAGTATGTATAATCTCAATTTTGTGACTCTAAATACTCTTCTTATGTCTACATACATTCGTACATTTCAGATAACTTGACGGGATGGCAAAGAGCTCATTTTACTTCTTAACGTTTTTAATATGGATCTGCTTTCAACGTAAGTTGTGGTAATCTTTTTATAGCGCAAAATATTTGTATTATGTTTCTTAAAAGATTTAGGCTATTGCACAATGCTAATTATAATATAACATGTAACCTATATCTGGCACTCGAACATCTAAAGAACATTGTTTTGAAGAAATTTAATTTAAAAACTACTAATACCCTTTTTAGAACTAGAAAATACTGATTATTTTATTACATACAATAAGAACAGATCTCTGGATAGTTTTACTGTAGCTCGTAAATCAAGTATACTTTAGAATGTACTAATATAGACGGGTATTAATTATCTGCTTTGAAATTATTCGCTGAGGGAAATGATGAATAATTATACACATTATGTATTGTTTTTTATGCAAATAAATAAATGCTTGTTTGTTAATGCTAAATTTATAAAGCAATTTTTATAAATTCGCATGCAAATTTTCAGATATTCCCTGCCCCAGAAGACAATTATGAATCTGTTGTTTGTTTTCCTGCTGCAAGGAAATAGTAACAGAAAAGCTAGCTTTACAGGTTATCTTAAGTAGTGAATAGAATTTCGTAATTTTACGTTTTGTGCTTCAAAATTTGAAGTTTTAAATTAGAGTTAGAAAATTAGTTATAAATTTGCTTTGAAAAAAGCGTGATATAAAAATGTTCAATATAGTTCAATGATATTTTGCCCCTTTTTCTGGAAACACAGTAAAATTTTTTAAGTAAAATTTCTTCTGAATCAAAATCTAAAGAAAGAAAAGTATTCTACTAAAAGATTTTATAAATGAAATTAGATTACGTATTAATGAGATGAACTTTTTAAGATCTTATAGTCAAAAAGAAGAAAATGATTTATATGTCTGTTATATCTCCATTAAAATAAAGGGTTTTCATTTAAATGAATACAAATATTTAAAATATTCTGAAAATTTTTATAATGATCATGTTTACACTGTTATGAATGAATTCAAAATGACTTAATCGCATACTTAGATACTGACTTAATTTGTTTGAGATGACATTATTCTTATATTTTACTTGTCCTTTTTTTCGTATTTTTCATTATGTTCATTAAGAAATCAAAAGATAACATATGAAATAGTTTTTTCAAAAGTACTTGAGTATGTCACACAGTTTGCTGCGGTTTATTTCTATTTTACATATATTCTGAGCAAATATTCCTTCAAAGCATGCAGTTGAGACATTAAGTTTGCCAAAGCAAGTTATGCTAAAGCTAGAATGCTTTTCATAACGGAAATACTTGTTTCATATACTTAACTATTTTTAAAAACAAATAATTTTAACATGCAAAACTTTTGGGTAATAAAATTACATAATAATTACCACTAAAAAAATATTCAGTGAATAACTTTATAATGAGATTTCAATTAGAAAATGAAAAATACTTTGCATAATGCAATGTAATAAATAATTGTTTCTGTGAAACATTCTTCTAATTATTTTTACTAAAAGAGAAAATGCATTCTTAAAATAATTATGTATAATGTTTTTTGTAACATAACACTTCGATTCCATCTTTCATATTTATCATATTGTTTTCCGCAAAGATGGGATACACTTTATTATAGTCAGACACAAAATATAGATTTCGTCCACGATAAAGTTTCAGTCTAGAGTATCGGAGTGCCATTTTTTTAAGTGAAGTTAAAATATGATGTGAAAAATTATAAAATGATATGCGCTTTAAAGACTTGCATGCTAAGTTATAGGCCACAATCCACTGGTCAGTAGATATGATGACAATGCCATTTTGGGTTGAATAATATCGTCTGGAAGCTAAAGGTGCCATTTGCAGTTGCTGTAGAAGATAGTTAATGTGGCAAGCATAATGAAAGAACTTTAGTAAGAAAAATCTGTTCTGATGTAATATATGAGAAATTCTCTTATAACTTAATATCGTTATGTAATGATCGTATTATATATTTCGAAATACATGTGAAATTTTAAATTGACATTTAGAATGTGCTATGGCATACAGAAATTAGTTAGCACATTACATAAAAATAATGTTATAATGCGTTTTCATTTAGAAAACTTATATAACTATAAAAAAAAAACTATAATAAAAAACTTATATAACTTATATAACTATAATAAAAAACTTATAAAACTATAAAAAAAAACAAATAGATTGTATTGGAATATGAAGGTAAATAATTCACTCACGTTTTACTTTTAAATTTATAATCAAATTATCATATCGATTTTGGAAGGGACAGTTTGTATTTTAACTTCCTAGAAGACAAATGGTTATCTATTGTTTTCGCTCAGAAATTAATCTCAGATATAGTATAAAAGTTTCACACGCATGTTGTGCACCGCCATGCTTATGAATTTCTGCATTTTAGTCGAGTATATATAAATGAAGCATGTAATCTCAAAAGTGGTTTGAAATCATGTCAAAAAAGGAACTGAAACTTAGATTCGAAATTGTGTTCAAAATCTTTTCTTCTTAATGTTTAATCATGATTGCTTATACATATTTATTTAAAACTTTGGGGTTATAAGCATTTTTATGCAATCATTTCCTATTGCTCTTTTCTTTCAGTTGGAGCCTGTGAAATACCGAATTTATATCCCATGTTTGTCCCACCGAATATTGGATTAGGCGATCCTGTAGAATTGCACTGCAGCCTGAAGAAAGGAAGTCTGCCAGTTACTTTCACGTGGTTCCTGAACAGTGTCAGGATTACAAACAATTCTAAACACAATTTGAAAATAACAAGCACTCAGAGGGGATCTCTTTTTAGCGTCGAAACGCTTAGTGCACAAAATATTGGCAACTATACTTGTCAGGCAACTAATGATTTTGGAATTGATAATGCTAGTGTTTTAGTCTATGCTGAAGGTGGGATAAGTTGCAATAATTAAAAAATTAAATTTACTTTTATACGTAAATTAACGATATTATACAGAGTTGTTTTAATTTTATAGAAAATTGTCTGAACTTTTGTTTTCTTGAATTCACATATCGTAAATCTATGTTTTTTTTAAATACTGTAGTTAAAATTGCATAAATAAATTTAATACACTATTATCATTTTTGTGCATGGTATGTGTATACGAAACTGAATATTAAGTAACTAATGCAGTCTTTTATATATTAATCAGAATTTTCTAAAAGTTATTATTTTTCTGCTGTTGGTATTATTTATTTACTATTCTTACAGAAATTACGCTTTCCACTGGTGTAATTATGCATATAGTATTTTGACGTTCTCTTTCTTATATAATGCAGTGTATAGCATATTATGTTATACAGTCCAAAGAAGCGAAAATAAAATGAATTAAAAGACGTTCTCAAAAACTTGTGATTTCATTAGTCGATATTCACATAGACAAATTATTTTTCATTTCTGTGGGTAAACTTTATAACAACAAGAGTATTGCAGCGTAAATTTTCGACCAGAAATACTTTACGGTATAAATTTCCCATATCAGCATTTGATTTGTTTCTTTTCTTACATTCATGATGGAAGTTGATGTGCAATCGTTAAGGCTACGTTATTTATTGTTTAAAATTCTTTCCAATAGTATATAAAAATTCTCATTATATATAAGAGTATTAATTTTTAATATTGTCTTAGTTTAGAGAAGTTATATACCATAAATTCAGATTTAAATGAAAACATATTACTTACATAAAATCCAGTGTACACATAAATGCTGATATAATGTACTATTTCTGATTTAATGTGCAATTATTTGTGTTTTCATAATTTATCTGTATCATTTCATTTTTATACATAATATGAGTTGTCGTCTTAATATTGACCTCTTCCTAGAAGAAAGATAGAAAAGCATATTTTAATCAAAAAATATTATATTCATTTAAAATATATTTAAATTGAAACTTTTAATGAATTATTATATTTTTTACAATATGAACGAAATATATATAGGTAACATATTTTTATTTATTTACTTGTGAGTTTAAATGAAGTGACAAATTTTTTTAAGTATCTCATAGCTTGTTTTAATGATGATTTTAAAGCATTGGAATTAATTTATGGTGTAAAATTTGCAACTATTAATTTTGTTATCTTTCATATATAATTCTGAATATATATATCTATATACTATATATATCCAAAATTATAAGAATTATTTCTTTTTATAGTTTTAGAAGAATGCTGTGTTTTAGGCGTTTTACGTATATTAGTATTAAGCAACTTCATATACGGTATTTCCTTTCTTGTGATCAATGAATTTATATTATATACATTGTTTACATCTCTGATCTGAAATATTGAAATATGAATCGAGTTAATTCCTCGTATTCATACATAAGGCTTCAACAACATTTTGCATGAATACATGAGTACATAATTTTCAATTCTATACATAAATTTTCATTTACTTAGAACAAATAAAATGATGTAAGCATACTGAATTTCGTTTTTATAGTCTTATTTCAATGCACCATTTTTTAATAATTTTTTTAAATTCTTTTTTTGTGACTTTTTTGAAAAAATTGTTTTTTAGTCTTGTGCAGAAAGCATGGTTTAGAAATTAAAAACTGATCACTTTGATTTTGCTCGCTTTAGTTCCCCCTCACTGGACGAAAGAACCAATGGATACAACTGCTGCTAAAGGTTCGGGTCTTGTTGTGGATTGTACGGCTACAGGCCATCCAACACCTAGAGTGTCCTGGAGTATACAGAAAAGTTAGTTTTGAAATATCTTTATTATGATAGCATTATTAACTCTTAAGCATCTAACTACAATTTTACATATAACTACAATTTTACATCTTCAGAAAAAAAAAGCAAAAGTAAAGAATCCCAACACAGTACTATTTTATTAAAATTAATATTAATCCTCCTAATAATTTTGTTCAAGCTTTTTGTTGAAAACTATATTTCATCAAATTATTTCAGCAAAATTCAGTACAATGAACTCAGATTTCAAACATGAATACTTAGGTTTCTGAAGATAGAAATACGTAACATAAACTTCTGATATTTAAAATTGTATAGACGAGTTCCATAGGGTAAATATATGAAAATAAAAATTCTGCTATTGCTTACATTTGAACCTTAATGTTCTGAAACGTGCTAACTGAAGCACCGGAACTTCATTTCTCACATCTTCCATCGCACGTAAGAAGCAAAAGATCTCAGTTGATCAGTCCAAGTTCTGTTATGAATTATCGTCAGGAGTTTAGTTCGGCTGCGATATATAGGGAATTCAGGAGAACTACAGTATCTAGAAATATTTAAAACTAAACTTTGTTCTCAACAGAAGTCGAACTTAAGTCCTCGATGTGACAGACCAATATTCTAAATATTGCACCACAAAAGCGCAAGGAAAGAATGATTTTAACGATGAAATAAATACATGAAGTACACTCTCTTAAAATCTAGAATTAGTGGCATCTAACTTCAGAAGATTTAGGTTTGAAAGGAACTGAAAAATAAAAAGTTATATACTTATTCAAAACTAAACATGAGATAAAACCAAAAATTCAAATGGTTATCTCTGCTCTTAAATAATGTGCTTTTAATACCATTGAAATATTTAAACATTAAAAAATATAAAAATGTACCTTAATTACATTAAAAACATAAAATTCTTGAAAGACATCATACGTCATATTCATTTAAATATAACGTCATAGAACTGGAAGAAAAAAGCTCCGGTGCAAAGCTTAAAATTAAGAATATGCTTTTTATGAAATTATAAAAATATGTTTAGTCTATAGTCAACTATTAATAATAAGATACTTATTAAGATAATGTTGGTTACTTGTCTAATTATCTTACTAATGAAGTTTGAATTTTTAACTATTGTCTTTTAGATAAAATATAATAAAGTTAACGCAAGTATATTTTTATGATACATACAGCTGGAATTCATTTACAAGCACAAAAAATAAAATTGTTTTAAGCTCAGGCAATTATTTACGCAAGAATTTGCTGTCTTTTTGTTATTTATTGCATAGAAAAGTCCTAAATCATATTATTTTAAATTTATACTTTAAATTCTAGTAAATATTTTAACATCCTTATTCTGTTATTAGTTCTATAATATGTAAAATTTAAATTGTCAACTGCTGTTAAATTAATAACGGGAGTGGATAGTTTATGTCATTTATGAGATCATAAAAAACTGAATAACTATAAACGTTATTAAAATTACATAGTTTGATAAATTTATTGATGATTTATGATTTTGGAATTGATAATGCTAGTGTTTTAGTCTATGCTGAAGGTGGGATAAGTTGCATTAATTAAGTTTAAAGTACATAGCAATAAATTATTTATTTTAATTAATAAGCTTCAGTAAATTTTAAAAAGTCTAATTAAAATTTCTTCATGTTAGCAAATCGTAGAGTTCCTCCTGAATAAACAAGCGAGCTAAAGAAGAATATACGAACCTTTGCCACAGCTTCTAAGTGATAGCATTTCTTCTTACAAATAAGGAAAATAATTCAAAATAGATTAAACAGAAAAAAAGAGAATTCATTCTAACCCTTTTTGACACAGGAGTGATATCATAAATTTAGTCGTAAAAGTGTATGATCACTTTCTGTAGTAAATTCAAAACTGTGGAATTCAAACGAAGCAACATAATGCAAATTCGCTCACTGAATTCTTGAACTGAAAGTAATTTCTACGGTTAAGCAACTATGCAAACTGTCATCTAACTCCGAAGTTCCTAAAAAATGCTTTATTCATTCTCACATTAAAGACGTTACAAAATGGGAACGATGTTACAGAACAGAAAAATCAGTTCTAGGCTTCAGAAATTGAACTTTCTGCAGAGCGGGCTCTGTTTCTGAGTCATCTTGACTTACGTACATAGAATTATACATAGAACTGCAAAATAATGAACCTGCTAAGCACAGAAACATAGATATATAACAATATTACCTAGAACTTAGAAACTATGCGGCATACACAAACAATGTTCTAGAATTGCAAAAAATTAAGGTTAAAAAAAGAAAGAAAGAATACCAAATAATTAGTAAAAAAATACAAATTAGATTGAAATAATATGCAACAAAATAAACAATGAAATATGAAATACGAATATACTTACATAAAGTTACAATGCAAATAAATTTGTCTTTTTAAAATGCTATTCTGATTTATTGAAAATAAATAATCAATTTTGAGACACTGAAAATAAATTTCAGTACAAATTATAAATTTTATGTAACATGAAATATACCTTCTGTGTATTGCATTCCCCAAAAAAGTCTTCCGTCTAAGAGTTTTATACTTTTGTATCATTTTTCAATAGAAAACATGTAATATTCTGCCTCATAAACATGCACAAAACCTCTCTGCTTTATTTATCTTTACGATTTCTTAATGTTTCTTAATGTAAGAATGATTTATATAAGATCTTCTTAGAGTTATCATTTTATTCTGAATGTAACAGATGCAGAACATCGCGAACCCATTCGTGGAGATGGGCAGTGGACTACTGCTTCCAACGGGTCTCTCATTTTTTCAAGGGTGGACGAATCAGATGCTGGTGTATATGTATGTGAAGCACATAATGGCATAGGACCAGGAATATCCAAGAGTATACAAATCAGTGTACACGGTAATTTTTTATTGCTTTTCTCCAGCAGTTAATTAATAAAATAAATTACTACTTCATATGAGAAGGAAAAAGAAGGTAGTTTTAAAAATTAGCGCAAATGTATAAAATTTCACATGATTATGTAATACACATTAAAATTAAAAAAAATATACTTATAATATTTTGATTCAGATTTGAAAGAAATTGAGATAATTAGTTTTACCGTAATCTAAACTTAAAACTGTCTCGTTTTTAAAGGATTATTTTAAAGATACTATAAATATCATAAAAACATGACAAACATTTATTTTAGACATTATTTATTTATATAATAGTTTCAAATTATTAATGAATTGAAAATTTATAATAACTTCAGTCAGAGCAAATCATATATAATATTTTATCAAAATATTTTACAGCCGCAATATTGATAAAGTATTATTTTATTGTATTATATGCAGTAGAATTCAAAAATCTTGCAAATACGAGACTTTGCTGGATTATCGTTTTAATATAGCACAATGTCCCAAAACGATTTGTTTACATTTTGGAAGATATTGAGGAATGAAAAAAATGTTTCATGTAAGAATTCTGCAAAAATATTTAATGAGATAAGTTAATTTGCATATAAACGTGTAGAGTTCCTCACTTTGTAAAGGCTAAGTTACTGTTGAACGTGAAGAATCTTAAGAACTAATAAGCGAATAATCTCTTGAGTTCGTGCAACAAGAAACAACAAGATGGAAGGGTAAATAACCCTTTATCATTCAGATAAGATTTAACAGAACTCCGTCTTGGAGTGTACAATAAAAGCAGACTTGGGCTTGAACTTGAGAGACTAAGAAGTAAACTAAAACTAACCTAAACTAAAAAGAGATATAGCCGAAGCGATCAAGATTCTAACCGAGTTGGCCCCTTAACGCGAAGACTGCGAAGCTATCAAGGGCCTGAGTACGGAACAGCTTTGAGGGAGAGTAGCCAACAAGGCAGACGCTCGCTAATCAGAAACTCTGATTCTCTCTAACTCAGCAAGTAGAACTTCGCGGTTAAATACCGCTCTTCCTCATTATATATTCTGACTTGATTCCAAAACTACGTTCTGGTCGGAAGTAGTAAGTTGAAGTTAAGAATCGACAGGAAAGGAACTTAAAAAAAATTAACTGTTAATAAAATTAACATAATCTTTACAAACGTATTCATAGTTTAATTATATTTGATCAGTTTTTTTAAAGTATCATGATTATAGTTCCATGTAGTCTCTTCAAATAAAATTATTTGCCTATCTCATAGATTACTCTCTTTATTTTTAAAGACCATTCCGCAGAAAATGAACATTCATTATTTCTCCAACACTGTATTTTTATTTTCAGAAATTTTTTTAATATATTAAACACTTCACAAGTTTGGTACCAAGTGATCTTGGTTAAAATTGTTCTTTTTAAAATTTTGCTATCTTTTGAAAATTGTAGATCAACACAGCCTGAATGATACAAAATTATATTTTTCTCACCAATTAGTTCCCAAATTTCAACCGTTAGTTTTCTTTTGATAGCAAATAAAACATGACAGCATAATATGAAACAAATTTAATATTTAGTAAACATAATGGCAATGTAAGAACCTATTTGCTTGTTTGATTTATGTTTATGGGTTTAGCCAGTTTTCCGTTTGGTACTATTGAGTTATTTTTTGTTATTTTTGGGTGGAATCTTGTGTGGGTATTTGTGTGATACCTTAATTATTAAAATTTGCAATGAACGATTTTGGATTCTTTTCGTTTAATTAATTTATTTACACTTCATGGTGGCGCGGTAGGTAGTTATTCCCATTTCTATTTCACATGTAAAAAAATTCTATAATTATCTAAAAATCATACCGCTAGCAGTTAAAAACCCAAAGAAAAAGAAACAAAAAAAAAAACACACAAACCCAGCTTTTGAGACATTACACAACCGCCAATGACTTTCATTCCATACCAAACCAAACCAAACCCCAATAAATAAAAAAAGAAAAAAATGAAATGTTTAATAAACACAAATACGAAAAGAATTGATTGAAAACCCAAAAGCAAACACATTTTGAAGATATAAATGAAAAAAAACAAAAAAAAAAAATAAAAATAAAAATTGTCTTTTTTGTGGTTGGTGGAAACAAAAAAAGAAAAAAAATTATAACAAAAGCTGAAAAAAAGGGGGGGGGGGGGGGGGGGGGGGGGGGGGGTGGGGGGGGGGGGGGGGGGGGGGGGGGGGGGGGGGGGGGGGGGGGGGGGGGGGGGGGGGGGGGGGGGGGGGGGGGGGGGGGTGGTGGAAGCTATGGGGGGGTGAGTACGGGGGCTTTGAGGGAGATAGCCAACGGCAGACCTCGCTAATCAGAAACCTGATCTCTTAACCAGATAAACTGTCTTTTGTTTTTTCTGCTTCCCGTTGGTCCTTCTCTTCTCTTCGAAGGGAAAGGACAAAAATTCTGTTTTTCCCTTCGGTGCCTTTTTTATTTTTTTTTTTAACTATCCCATTATAGTTATGTCCTAGTCTCATATTACCTATTTGCCTATCTCATAGATTACTCTCTTTACGAACGACCATTCCGCAGCCCCCAACAGTCCCATTTTCCAAACTGATTTTATTTGCAGAAATTTTTTCCCCCACCAGCACAGTTTTCCACCCTTGGTTAAAATTTACCCTAATCTTTTTTCCCCACGTAACAACACAAAATGATAAATATAAATTCTTTTCATAGTCATAATACATCCCTCAGTTTTGTGTGTGATAGCCTTATTAAATATGCAGCATAATATGAAGGAAACTTTTCAACTATTTTCAGTCCTCATCTGGCGGTCATTGGTCCTCATATTTTCGCCTGTTTGATGTATTTTCCTATGGCATTTAGCCACAATTTGCCAGTTTTGGTACTATTGCGTTATTTACATGTTTACAAGCAATAGAAACTAAGAATCTGTGCTTTTATTATTTCCGTGATACGATCCTTCTTTATTAAACTTGATGTAGAGTTTGGGATTGACATTTAACTTTTATATCCTTATCACAGGTGTTCACTTTGACCGCGAGATATAGTTCCATACATTTCACAAGCTGTAAGATGGATTCTATAATTATCTAGAAGCTTCTATCGCTTGCCGTTAGTTGCTGTGTGATGTATGGATTAAATCTATTTTACAGATATACCCGGGTCCGATATCCAGCTTTGATGCATTTAAAATGGCCTTTCTTCATCCCAATCATTCCTATTCCGTTATGCCCCGTTTTAATAAAACGATAAAAACTGAAGGGGTTATCTAATACACGTTTTTTTAACTTGATGAAAAGGTAGCAGTTGATCCCTGTTGAGCATCTTGGCCTTCTAAATGTTGCCAAAATGAATTCAGCGGACCATCCAAAGACGATATTGAAGAGTGAGATGCCGTATTGTGCTGTTTTTACTGTATTTTTATTGCATTTATTATTTATTTTTCATGAATTCTCATTAGTATATATTCTTGCCAAAGGAATATAATTGGAAATATTTCTTTGGGCCGAATTCGCGATTCCTAAACTTACGCAATTTTTACGAGTGTCGTTAGGTTCATTAAATTTCACAAATTCAAATGTTCTGAAATTATAATAATTACTTAAGAAATGCGATCAGTTTTAGGATATTTCACCTTAAGTGCTTTTCAACGTGATATTAAGCATATTTACGCATTACTTTTACGTGTTCTATTTATGATCTTTAACCCAATTTACAATTCTTGTTATATGTGAACAGTATGGATCTCTCAAAAATAAATAAAATATTTTCTGAAAATTGCGTTATTTGCCAAAAATTTCCAGGTAAAAATATCGGTTAAATTTGTAATTATTAGTTTTCTTTTTCTGACTGTAGCACCTCCGAATTAAAGAACGTTCCAGAGGGTACAGTTAGAAGAGTCATCTGCCCGACTCATTCGAATCCAGGAGATAACCTTGTGACTTGAATGAAAGATAATCACGATGTTAATATCGTTGGTACAGGTACCGTATTTTTTTATTTACCTTTAGTTTATTATAGCCAATTCCTGTAAGCCGCACCGTCTAGTCTCAGGACCCCGTCTAAAGCCCGTCCACCGGACGCTCGAAACGTAGCTGACGAACGCGCTTTACGTACCGCGTTTAAGCGTCCAAAGAGTCGTTGCGTTGGCGTTTAACCAATAGAATTATTGGCGCAAAAATCCGTGCGCGTAATTAGCGTAACAGAGCAGTATTATATTCGCTGTTTTTTTGTATGTTTTGCGGCAAGTTTAGAATCGATGTTTTTTTTCGTGACCCTTTATTTGTGCAATTATTAGCGAAGCAAGACGCAAAAAATGCCGAATCCGAACGATTTTAGCGCGTTGTTCCGTGTTTTTTTTTTTTTTTTTTTTTTTAGTGCCCCTTGTTTGGAAGGATACTCTGGCATTTCCATTCTATATTAGTTCCCCTTTCCCCTCTATCCTGTTTCCCTTGGCACATACCCCTTTTTCTTCATTTAAAAAGTTCATTTTTATTTTTTAAATTTATTTTGCATTTTTATTTCTTGGGGACCACTAGGAATTTTTTTTTTGTTTGTGGGGGGGGGGTATATTCTTGTTTTTTTTTCTTCAGGTGGTCGACCGTTGTCGACTTGCCTTCTAATCGTTGAAAATTAGGATTTATAAATTGGTTTGGAGTTACAGGTTACGGTTTTACTTATCTATTTATCTAACCCATACACCTTATAATGCCTCTTATATTTTTTGCCCTCCTTTTTTTTGTTTCTTTTATTTATTAATTCTGGGTTCTCTTCGCGACAGTTATGAGAAAAAATATGTGCAGGATTTGCCAATCGTTTCTTCGGTCCTTTTGAGATATAGATAAAGAGATGCAGCATATATTTTTATATAGGATTTCTATTTGCACATCTTGCCTAAAGTAAAAAACAAAATTAATGTAAATAAGAACGACCCCAATATAATAGGTAAAATAGGAATATAATGATTCATGTATTTGTCTTTTGCCATTTCTTAAAACTAAATAAAACAAAAAATATGTATAAATCGAGATGACCCATAATATAGGTAAAATAAGAATATATGATTCATGATTAAATAAAGAAAAACAGTTAAAAAAATGAGAAAGCATAACTGAATATACGTTAAGGCGAGTTTCGAACTTGCCACCTTTCCATTCTCCGCTACCAAGCAGCGTGGCCACTCAACCCCTGTTAGCATTTGTGAAAAATAATGTAACAAGTAGCTCGCTGCAAGGTTTATTAAAACTTCAATAAATTGCTGTATGACCAAGTTGTACTTTCCTCCAAAATTCGTATTGGATTTTATTGACTCTTTCATTCACAGTCCCTGCCTTATTTAGAAGTTATTATTGCTGAGTTTTGGGTGTATGTATCTTGGATATTTATAGAGCTTTTTTCCACAGATCTTTCACTAATGCTTTATTTGAAGTTTTACATGCTGAAGTTAGTTTTTGGTGTTGTTTAATATTGGATATTTATAGAGCTTTTTATTACACATGATAGCCAATATTTATAATAATTAAGGAGAATTTTAAGGCGCCACTTTGATTTTGTAGCCCTGTATTTTTAGTTCCTTACTTACGGTTTATAATAGGTAAGTATGATCTACTGGTCTCTTTTCGTAAGTTTCCCTTTAATGAGAATTTTAATGGATACTTAGCCGGTTTCCAAATCTTATTGGTACCCGGTGTCCCCCTGCCCCTGGCGTTTTGATGCTGATTATTGTTTTGCTGAAAATTTTCTGTGCTCTGACGCCATCTGAAGTGTAAGCCCTCTTTCGTTCTATTGGCTCCTTCCGCGCTCGCGGGCTAACCCTGAACTCGCGGCGTCGCGGTCTGCTGAAGGGAGCGTCTCATTTACCCCCGCCGTTCCGTCCGTACGGGGAGCGTCCTCGTGTGGACGGGCCTTTAATCTGAAATTTGCACAATCTGAAACAGTGACAGTCTAAAATAAAATGAGCGACTGAGTTTGCCAGATTTGGAGATTAAACTCAGTGGCCGTTATTGCGTATTAATAAGGAATTACATCATTATAACAAAGAATGTGCTTATTTTATAAAATAGTCTACTTATAGTGAAATAATTCATATTATTTCTTAAAAACATAGGATTAGCCTAAAAGAAATATATCATTTGAAAGTTTTACAGAAGCAAGAGTCTGAAATAATTATACTGGTAGAAATCCTGAAATTTGCATGGTTAAGTTATAAGTGCTTTATATATAACAGTTTCGTAACTCGACAGATATAAATTCAATAATTAAGTTCTTCCCAAACTCATCTTAGCGGCAGTTGCATCAGCTCTTGGTGATGCATTGTTTAAGACAGTCCAAGTTTGTAGGAAAAGGATGAACAAAAACTGTCTCCTTGATGTATCTCCATAAGATGTAGTCACACGGTGTTAAATTCAAACTTCTTGCTGACCCACATGTGATACAGCCATATTCTGATCTATAATGGATGGCTGTTTACCGTACCGCAGTGGTCTTTAAACTTTGACGACTCATAGAACCCTTTTATTTGTAAGGTGTTTTCAGAGAACCTCATCTAATAATTAAAGTAGGTCAATTTCTTAAAGATATGTTATGTAAAAACCATTAAGAAAATTTTATTTGTTTTAATAAACTGAGCTCATCGTGCTACAGGTGTAATCTACCCTTCAATTCTACTATTTAGTGACAGGGTTGTGCTTGGATTTTTTTACACAAATTGCCCAAGTTTAGCTCTATTTATCTTCTGCAGTCGCATTTCATATTCTGCATTTCATTTGTTACTATATTATGTGCCACATATGTTGATAAATATTTATTTCACTTAAATACATTGTTCCGAATGGTATTAAAATGTTTATAGGCTTGTGAGAAACCTCTAGGTATTCCACATGAATCTTCTAGGTATTTATAAGTGTAGGAGTTGCTCTTGCTTAAATTTAGATCGTCGAATCTGTTAGTTGGACATAATCCCGACAGCCGAAATCCCGACAAGCCAGAATCCCGACAGACGGAATCCCCCAGCCAAAATCCATCCGACAGGTCGAAATCCCGACACCCCAATCCCGAGGGTCGAAATCCGACAAGCCCCCCCCCGACGGGTCGACCCTTTGTCCAATATCCCGACAAGGTCAAATACCGACACGGGCGAAATCCCAATAAGGCCTAATGACCCCTTTAACATACTTTTCCACAGCTGCAACTAGTATATGCTTTGATGACTAGCAAATCTGAAGAAATTACAAAAGATTATTCCAAGATTTAATTCATTTCGCTGAAGAAATTAATATTGAACTGAAGCCATCTAGAATCATTAGTGATCTAGAAAAGGCAGCTATAAATGCTCCGCGCACTCAAAATGCTGTCGAGGATTGGCACAGAAGATGGGAGACCTTAATTGGACGGCCCATGTTGGCGTTTATAACATCATAGAAGGATTTCAAAAAGAACAGGAGCATGTGGAATACCAAGTTGAATGCATTCTTCGCGGAAAACAACAACCAAAACGTAGGAAGGTAGATGATGACAGAGAAAGGAGAATTATGACTGTTGTGGACGATCGTGATAATCGACCTGTGATGGAATATCTTCGTGCTATCGCTCACATGTGTCACTGTAAATATGTCGTTTGCCTCTGTAAGTGATGTTTTTTCTTTTTCTTAATAAAAAGAATTTTATAAATCTTCATTTCAAATTTTAACGGTCATTTCAATTTGTTAAAAATTATTTTAAGTAATGACATAATTTTTAGGATTTTTTGATTTAAAATTTTAATTAGTAATATGTAATAGTTAGTTAAAAATTGTATTTTATTAAGCTAAATTGAATGTTTGTATTTAGATATTAACTTATCGGGATTTTGGACAGTCGGGATTTCGACCGTGTCGGGACTTTGGGTTGTTGGGATTTCGGCCCTGTCGGGGTTTTGGACTGTCGGGATTCTGGCTTGTTGGGATTTAGGCTGTAGGGATTATGACCCAGATCCGAATCTGTTGTTACGTCGATAAGTTATTCTCTTTCCTTCATTGGTAAATTATTACTTATTATTGGCTATTAATTCTAAAGGCTGAAATCTTTTCTAATATTTAACCTTTTTCCCTTCAGTTAAAAAAATTCGATAAATCCAAGAGCTTAAGTTAAATATGAAATTTCATTCTTGCTTTAAAATAAATCTTTATTTCATTTATAAAGTAAATCTTTATTTCTTATTCGAAGTTCTCAATAATTTTACAACATTTTTGAGGTAAGAAAAAACGGTCTTCTTTTTTAATTTTTCTGATTTATTGCAGTACTCGAACGGATTTTTTATCCAGTCATGCTAGGTTTTTTCTTCTGGTAAATAAATATTCTTTTATAGTTTTTTTAACTAAAAAAAGCGCACCATTATATAATTGTTAACACTGTCGTCTAAATGCTTCATTTTCCATTAAAAAACTGTTTAGTTTTCCAAAGCACTGTACGTCATTTTCTTTGTCGTGTGATGACTACCTGTAACTTTCAAAACTAATCTGTAATTAAATATTTTAAGTAAGGAAACTCTAGTCAAGTATGAGTGTGAATACTTTATATTTCTTTTCGGATTTTTGTTTTAACTCGTGGAACTCGGAATTCCTTAAACCCCGAAACGAACTGCCCCGGAACATAGTCTGAAGTCCCTTGCGGAATACAGTCTGAAGACCACTGTCATACCATGTTCTAAAATGACATTATACAACAGTAACAAAATCTAATTTTCTGTATTCAAGGACACAAACTACTAATTATGTTTTTTTAACTACTAAGTTATAAAACTATTTCTGCATAAACTATTACTTAACCTTTTCAACTACCTATGCTTTTTAAATCTTATCTATATTTATAACGTGACGATTCAGTTTAAACGTGCTACTTATTCTTATACGCTTTTCGAAGTTTGCGAATATATAGATATTACCTAACCGTCTGTTATGTGGCCAGTAGTCATATACGAAATACATCATGAATTTGAATATCATTCGTAATTACTACGCAATATTGGTCTATTTGACTTCATTGTTGAATTTACCATAAACTGATGAACCTTACTAAGATTATTATTTAGCATGTTAATAAATTTTATTAATTATTTTAGATTTGAAGTGGTGAAAGATACTACAGATTATGGAACAAAATCTGAACTCCTGATACACGATTCGCAAAAAGCTGATGTAGGGCATTATATTTGCCAAGCTCGTAACCAATTCGGAGAAGATGAAGGAAAAGTGAAATTGGTTGTCCTTGGTAAGAGAGATGTTTTTTAAACAAAAGGCATACTCAATAATTTTGGAATATCACCTAAAAATTTTCTGTTTCATGATACATATTCATTACATTTGGAAAATTACACAATAATTCTGGTAAATAAAAATGCGTAATTCATTATATCAGGTATTATTGCTATTCAATTGCTGTCATATAGTCTATTATTGTTCCGAGACAGTAATATTTTACAGACTTCTATTTTTTCCTGTTACGCAGTAAATTAGCTTATATTTCCGACATATTTCTGAGTATACGCCGATCCATGTATAAGGGGAGAGATAAGATTTTGCTGCGAAAGTTCAACCCAAACTGTAAACCCGTATTTAGACTGAATTAAAAAGCATTCTATGAATATAGTTATATATTGTTAAAAGTTGGAATAAGCACTCATCTAATTTAGCTAGTCTAACGGATAATATGAATGTCAGTGCTAAGTCCTGATCCATTTAAAAAATAGGCCAAGAACGTAAAATTGGCAAGGAAATAGGCCCAATCGTTCAAAATTGTTACATTAAGAAATGCTATAGACAGAAACTAAGAGTAATAATTATTGTCTGCGAAGCAGTTGACGACGATGTTAGCGGTAAAATTAGAGGATTATGCCATTCACCTAGAGTTTCCAGTATCAGAGAGAGACTTCCGAGAATTATTAGAAATTTTCATGTCGAATACTGATATTTGATTAATGCACATAGGGATTAAATAAAATTAGAATTTAAATCAGTTTTAAATATTTTAGTTGTTAGTATTTTTTTATAATTAATTTTATGGTTTAGTTATTTATAAATAATTTTTAATTCCTTACCTAAAACGATCTCCAAACTTAGTAGCAAAACATTTGTTAAGGTTTCTCGGCTCATGTAGGAAATGTATAACATTCTTTTCTTGCTATTAATTCTTAGGGCTTTTAAATCTTTTCTAATTTTTAACCATTTTTTCCTTCAGTAAAAAAATAGATAATTGCAAAAGCTTAAATTAAATATGATATTTCATTATTGCTTTAAAATAAATCTTTATTTCATTCATAAAGTAAATTTTTATTTCTTATTCAAAATTCGCAATATTTTGTAACATGTTTTAGGTACGAAACAACGGTCTTCTTTTTTAACAATCCTTTTAATTTAATTTTTTAAATAATGAAAAAATAAAAGATCGTATAAATGGTTTCATTTCATTTACTTAGCAGCAGCTAATTAAAAGTTATATTTTCTATTATAATTATATTTATATAATTTTTATCAAATTGCAAATTAATTCAGTTTTATCCATGCATATAATATGAGGGGGAAAAGCCATGTGAGCGCTACTACAGAATATATAAAGGATGTTCAAATATTAAAATGGAATTTATCAACTAAATTTTATTGTTTGAATTCAATAAAACGACTATTACACTATATTTCTTTGTAGCCGCATGCACTATGATACGCTTGTTCCAGCGGCTAGGAAATGTTTCAATTCCAGAAGAATAAAAGTATCCTGACTCTATGTTGACCCATTCCTGTACAACTTCAATAACACTGCTTATTGAAATAGACAGGCATCTCCGAAATTATTTTAAATTTTGGAATACAGAATGAGACCAAATGACACTTTCATTAGGGAAAAAAAAAAAAAAGATTTGCTGTGAATTATTGTGAAACTTGTTCTCCGATGTATTGATTACAACTTACAAGAGTGACTGAAAGAAAACTTCTTTTAATAAGTTCAAACACATATGTGTTTGAATCTTCATTACGTTGAATTCGTTACAAGGTTTGGTTTTATTGGATTATGGCAAAGCCTCGAGGGCTATATGTCTAAGGCGAGGGATGCCTTCGTGGAGGACTTCCTAAGGGGAACTGGCTCGTATACACGTTACACATGGGGAAAACTCTCATGCAGCTAGCCCGTTCGCGGGATTCGAACCTCGGTCCGAACTACCAGTTTTCAAGGACTTAACCGCTCGGTCGCTGGTAGGCCTTCTTTACAAGAACAAAGCATAAAAATCCCTGTTTATGTTTCAAAATCCTTAGTACTATATTAATTTTATAATATATGAAATTTTTAAGGAATTAGAAATAATATATTACTTCCTGCGTAGTTATACGTTCAAATTTTTTACGAAACTCATGTTTTCAAAAATATAAATAAAAATCGGCTAACATAGATAAATTAAATTTTTCTTTGTTCAAAATATTAAGCCTTGTAAATTTTATGTATTTAGTGATTTTTTATGAATAGCCAGCTTGTATTTGTGTTCGTGCATTTAATTATTAGCTTGTATTTAACGCTCTGTTTATTCCAATGACACATTTAAAACAAAAGTCATCGACAACTTAAATATCTTATCGCTTATTTTATGACGATGTAAATCGATTAGTACTGAATTTCTTTATTTACTGAGATTACCGATGTATTGATTTTATAAGCTTATATCTATCGAACTCTAACTAACTGAAGCTACTCACGAATTATTACGTTTCTTTAAAAAAAAAAAAAAAAATGTTTTCAAATTTTTCAAAATGCTTAAAAAAAAGAGTTAGTATATAATGTTTCATAAAATTTTACGTAATTTTCCAATTAAAGAAATAATTATTTAATTTTTCAGTAGTATTAAGAACACTCAATCATACAGAAGTCTCTTTCAAAGTTTTATTGTTTCTTGCAACAGCTTCATCTTTCTCAATAGGTATTGCTCTTATCTCGGGCGCATCCGAATGCATTTTTGCCAGATGGATGAGAAACAAATGATTCTATGACACGGCACCACAGTTAAATTAGCGTTTTTCCGAAATTTGACGCACGGAGCTGAAAAGGTTAACATTACTGCTTTAGAAGATAATTTTTTTTTAAAATCATCTAACTCTTAATAAAAGAAAATAAGGTAATAAATTTGTTTTCGCTTTCATTTCGCTAACGTGAAACATTATCGAAACTAACATAAAACACGAACGTTTAATTTTTCGTAAGACGATGGATTTGATGTTGATGATATAGCATATCGAATTTCATTCTAATGCATTTTTAATTTTTAATGTTAAATTATGTACACTGAGACTACTATGAAAATAATTCTTTACAGAAGTGGCCTTACATTTTAACTTTTTACTGTACGAGTAATATATAAATGATAATGTTATTGATCTATTAATAGAACCCCCATCTCCTCCGACTGGAATTCGCGCTTCTGAAGTTCAAGTGAGATCGATTAGATTGTCGTGGCAACCCTCCTCTGCTGACGAAGGTTTGGTAGAAAACTATGTTGTGAGATACTGGAGAAATGATGGTAAGCATCTGAAAAATATTTAGACACATACAGGAGGTCACAAAATATTATTTGCAATGCTTTAAACATATATTTATTACATGCATTAATGTTATAATTCATGTTTATATACGACGACAAATATTGATAAACAAGTATTTTAATTTAGTATCTTAAGCAAATGAAAGGCTGCCGTAAAGACGAAAATAATTTGAAGCTAATTCCGAATTATTAAATTGTTTTAAAAGAATTTTAATTATTGCATTAAATTGTTAAGTTTAACTCTCTTGGGTATCACCCAATGTTAAACTCTATGTAGATATTAAGCAACTTATCACTGAGTACAGCAGAAGCTGAGAAGAGTGTAAAAGACTCTTTGTTTAAAACGAAATAAACTGAATAGAAAGCACACCAGGTACTTCTTCGCTAGCATTTATGGCGAGAAACTTAAAAGTAGTAAATCAAATGTAAAGCTTAAATTTGAATAAACAAGTAGCCAAAGAATAAACAGAGCAATTTAACTGGAAGTGTGCTCAGAATTTCACCGGCGGGAATTTCAGTTATCGGCAGTTATAATGCAAGGCCGAAGACAGGAGCTCTTACCTGAAGAAGTAAACTTAGCAACGTGGCTACGAGTGATTAAGTAACGAGTAACTTATTAATGGGTCAACAAGCAATTTCTGTCTTAACAATCCGAAAACCTGCCTATAATTACACGCGAATTAATTTGCATTCTGATGGTAAAACAGAAACACACAAGTAACAATACAGATTCAAAACATAAAATAATTGAATATTCAAATTAAAAGAACTCATAGAAGTTTGTGAGGAATTTAAAATTTGAATTGATTAAATATAATTTTAATTTCAAATAAATTTAGAATATTTTAGATATAATTTTAGTTTGATGATTGTTGAGTTTATACGAAAAGTCGCTAAATACGAAACCATAAAGAATTGTATCGTACTGAAAAACTAATTTCAGTATTAGTCTGAAAATTCATTTCCCGCAGTCTTTCGTTGTTGATTTCCTCCAATAATTATCAAATCAGATAGCAACAAATGATAGTTATTTGATGTTTAATTAAATCAATTATCCTATAAAAATATAATTATCGCACTATGGAAAAGTAAGGAAAATATGACACCGAAAACATATTTCTGTCTCATGTGTCTCATATTAACATCAGCAGTTTAATAAATTTATATTCAAAGTCAAAATATTACCTTAAATTTCAAATATAAACATAATTATCAGAATTTGAGGAGCAGCATATATTACACTACATCTGCTGAGGAAAAGGAAATTACTTGAAATTAAAAAAATTTTTAAATTTCGCCTTTTGAAAGAATATGAGAGTATATAAAATATTTCACACATCTGAAATACTTGGTAAGTCAAGTAGCTACCAAAATTCGAAATTCATTTATAGATATTTAATGAGGTAGCTGATAACGATACGGATATGCCATTTTTTGGAAATTATACGTCAGAAACTAATTAATGAGTTAGATTTTCTTTTAAACTCTTTTTATATTAAACGTGAAAAACACAAATTTCACTTTCCGTTGCTCCCATGAGCTTAGTATCCCATAGCAAATAGCTTAAAAAACAGAAAGAAACAATAGCGATAGAAACCGCAGTACTTGCTTAAATGCTGACTAAAAAAATATGTCATATTTTTAAATCTAGTGTTTAGTTAATTTGCTCACATGTGATCTACATGGCTTACAAATTGTTAAACATTGTTACCTTTTATTAATGTTCAGGGAGAAGAAAGAGCAAATTTCCATTAAAGCGTCAAACAAGTATGAGAAACATTACAAGATCTTACGATAATGCCTAAGTGTGATTATTAATGCTTCGAGACCTTGCTTGAATAATTATAGATACAGGAGAAAGTCATTGAATTTCTTCTTTGAAGGACAAATTACAATATGGGAAAGAATGTCTCAGTAATATTCAGTTAAATACGCGTATCATATATCTAATTAACTGCCAAAGGAATTTGTTACATTTTAAATTAGTTTATAACGCATTAAAAAGGTGAAGAAGAGTTTTTTTCAGTAGTTTACATAAGAGGTTAATGTGATAATGAAAAGGTATATCTTGAGGTGTTACTTCATTGTACTCAATGTGAAATTATATGCTCCTTTGTTTTAATAAACTGTTTAGAAAATTACAAATCTTCAGAATTAGTCTAAAAGAAATACATATTTTCTAAGTTCTGAAAAAATAAAAATTTCAGTAGTATGTATAAAATACTTTCACGGCTAGAATGTGTCCTGAAGTTTATATGGCTAAGTTACAATGTTCTGTAAGTGACCCTTTTATAATATGGCAGATATCAATGTCAAGCTCTTTCCCAAAATGCTTAAGCATGACCAAGTCAACAATCGCGGCAACTGTCGTGATGCATTATTTAAGATCAGCTAGAAAGAGTAGAACGAAAGCCTTGTCCATTTATATGCACCCCCCGCCCCCCGAAAAAAGGTGCAATCATACGTTGTTAAGTATCAGTCATTTTACTGGATAGTATGCTCGAAATGCATTTTGGTCTATTTAATCAACGAGGCAGATAATCTTCCATACCGTATTCTAAAATGACATCGTATAACAGTAACAAAAGTTGTTTTTTCACAGTGAAATATACAAGAAATTTTTGACGTAAATAGCTCTCACGTGATGTTGAAGTCACGAAATCAAACTAAAAAAAGGAGATTGTAAGCTTGAAGCCTTTCTATTTAAAACACTACTAAATACTTCCTAATAAAAACAAACACTTTTCGATTTCGTTTAGGCTAACCCCGTATTTTGTAATCACTGATGATAATAATAAATTAAATGTGAAATGCTGTAGTATAGTGCACATTTAATTATAGTCCGAGGTTTCAATTCTTCATAAAAATCGTAACCCTTACTATGACTCTCTAATATTTATATTTATTTTTACTCTGACTATTTCTCTCTTTCTATTTCCATATTCACAATTTTAAACTCCGTTCATAAAAATATTAACTGGGGAAGGTAAAAGGTAAGAATGAATATAATAGGCACGCGTTTTAACTGTAAATCCGGCCCTATTGGAAGATAAAATAAAAAAATTAAGTTTCTTTCATTTTACAAGAGAAGCTGATTTAATTGCAGATAAGGAAAATATAATTTGAAACATACTGGGGTATTTAATTACAAAACTTAGTTGCGTTCCCGTTGCCTCTCTACGTTAAAGATGACCTAAATTTATTAGTACTCGTATTTTCAACTGTTTATGACGTGGATGAAGGAGCTGTTTAGTTTGTGATTTACGCCTGTTTAAGTAATTGCATATTTAGTTGTTTTTGTAATTATTATAGTTACTGGACGATAAATCGCAACTGCTTGAAAATACCTCAGAAATACACTGTTATGCTGGTTAACAGTAGAAGTTTTAATTGAAAGGTTTTAAAATATATAAGGCGGATTCATTAATACACTTAAGGATTTCTTGAATTTAGGTTATAATATTATTCCCTGTTCTATTCCCTGTTCGCTAAACATTGACTAGTAGATGCAAGTTGATTATTCGTAGTTTTATTTGTATAAACTTGATAAATCTCTTGATGTGTATTTTAATATCTCATTGTTTTTATTTTCCTTGATATATAGAAGCATGAAACTATTTGAGAGAAATAAAAGGAAAAATAGAATCTGAAAATAAAAGTAAAATAATGGTTTCTCTGCCTAAATTTTAAATAAATATTTTCTCAAATTTTAAATGTAATCGTAGCGAAATAAAATTCTAATTACTGAGAATTTTAATTTAATTTAATAACTAGAAAATACGTCATCATACTCAGATCTTCCATTAAAGTTCTTAAAAGCACAACTTAATCACTTGGAGAATTCCTAAAGACTTACAATGATTTTCCTTACTTTTATTCTACATATTGTTCTGTTAACTAAACCCTCAAAATGTCATCTCCTCTTTATATATGCTATTCTTGACGTAGTGAAGCTTTTTATTTTCCAAGTACTATGTAATTGGAAAATGGATTTTAAATTTCTCTATTTATTTCCTATTGATTACTTTGTTTATAATTTTAATACCAGTCAAATATTTAGACCACCATTTTCTTATATAAGTGAAAAAATGTAATTTTTTTCTTTTTAAATTACTAATGTGATTGCTTGTCATAAATACTAAATCTAGATAATGTTTTCCAAATGAACATTTTTAGCGTTTCGAATTGGTCAAAATATTTGAATTGTAATGGTTCGTTTATACATTGTATCCTTTTAATTATTTCTTGTCTTTTAGAGAAACGAGGGAAATTGCACCAAGTTACTTTACCAGCAGTTCAAACGGCAGTCACAATATCTAATCTGCATCCGGGAACATCATACAGCGTTCAAGTATTTGCCCAGAATGACGTAGGACAAGGTGATCCTTCTCAGCCAATCACATTTCGTACAGTTGAAGAAGGTATTTATCAGTTTTAAAGTACTTTCAAGTGAAAAGAAAGCTCATCAATGTAAGTGCTTAGAAATTTCTCTTCCAAAGAGAAGGGAGTTTTCTTATAGTAGGCAAATCATATTTTGCATTGAACCGTATCTTTACAGTATGAGGTATTTTCCATCTCTACACGTTTTCCGGAGTTCAAAGTAGTAAGTTACTACAAAAGTTTATCGAACAGAAAACAACAAATTTTAGATTTCAGAGTATTTACTGAGAGTAGAATGATATTACCTTCTGAGTTACTATGATCAAAGTATCATCAGCGAGGTTTATGCTTAGTGTAAATTGAAGTTTTAAATAAATTAAGTATTATGAAGGTTATATTAAGGTTTCCTTGACATATTTAAAAGTTATGTACAATTTATGCAAGAACGTCAATTTCTATTAATCCTCCGATTACATGATTTTATTTGACATAGTTATTTTGTGGGGATTAAATCCTTGAATTAATTTTTGACTGTTTTTTACTAATTCGATTTTTCAAAATGTTCATTATTTGCAATGATAATATAATGGTCTACCTCGTTTGAGGATAAGATTAATCATCGCTGAATTTTGAACATCACACCATAGAATAGTCTGATGAAAGTTTCAAAATAAATTTTTTAAGAATTTTTATCATAATATGCGAATTTTACAGTTTTTGAAAAATCGTTTGATTTTTTTAGTCGTTCTTTTCCTTTTCTCTTTTTTTAGTTGTTTAAGTGATGGAGTTTCAAATAAAAATATAATTTATTATTAGCAGGTACATGGTTTTTAAATGATTGCGAGATCGAATTTCTAAATCGTGGAGAAATTTAAATGAACTGAAAATAATCTTTCCTGAATAGATATATTTTTCCGCATTAAGAGGTAGTGATTTTCTTTATTAATTTTCCACATTCTGTGAACTAGAAGGTATAGAATAAATAATATAAAGCTTTTCTAAATTACACTGTTTTAATCAAATCTTTTAAAGGTTAAAAAAACAAATTTTTTCGGGTATCACAGCATTCATTATCATATGAGTCATAGTAAAATCGACCCACCAGCGGCCGAGCGGTAAAGTCGCTGAACACTGGTAGTTCGGTCCGAGGTTCGAATCCCGCGAACGGGCTGGCTGCATGAGCGTTTTCGTGGTTTTCCCCATGTGTAACGTGTATACGAGCCAGTTTCCATTAGAGAAAGTCCTCCACGAAGGCATCCCTCTTCTTAGGAAGATAGCCCTAGTGTGCTTTGCCATAATTAAATACACCAAATACATCATAGTAAAATCGTGAGATTCCTGTGTACGAATTATATTGCGGCTTAACAGAATTTCAAAGGAAAAAAATCAGCAATACTATAGAAGTGACATTTATAATATAGCGTTGTAAAGATGTGTGTCATCGGTCATTGATAAATGTTTGTGTTGTCACTCTGCAAAGCGTAAAATATTTATGTTTGAAATTTAATCGGGAAACTCAGCGATATGAAAGTGTTGCAACTAGTAACATTGTTTCGAATTTAATCAATAAATTCAGTGGTTTAAGAAACAAGTTGCCTTTGCTCGAACTAAAATATTTTTATCTTCCTTGCGGCGTTTTTTGTAACTCAACAATGGATAAGATAATTAATTTTTTTCAAATTTATTCTGTTAGTAATAAAAAAAGTAAGCGATTTAAATAACACGGATTCATTTCGGTTGTTATTAATTGTTAACTGCACCTGTGAATTGACGCTAGCTGGATTTATTAAAATCATCTTTATCTATTTTTTTTTACTAACAGATATCAAATTATCTGTTTTTTTTTTTTCCGTGTGCGAGTGTGTAATTTGTACAAATCTACAGTTCAATCCGATCCTGATAAAATTGTTCACCCTTAACTTTTAAAAATTCAGAAAGGGCAAAGGCGTTCACACTCGGAGCTTTCACATTAGAATGTTGCGCTACGTCATCCATCGTAAGTTCACGTCGTTTTATTTGAGCTTTGTGAACTTTTACACACTTCACCTTGAACCTAAATAAGAGGAAATTCGCAGTTTACCTGAAGATTTCGGGGAGGGGGACTCCTCCGTCCCCCTAAAAACCTTTTCACTCTGAGTAAAGAAGCTTTTACAGCATCGGGTACTTCAGCTGGGGTGGTGTAATGTAATATAGGGCGTTGTAGGGATGGGGAGGCGAGGGAGAAGTGTGATTGAGAGAAAAGAGGTAATGATGAGCCGCACTTAAGGAAGAGGCAATAAATGCTCATCGCCCGGATGTAAGGATGTGTTGGGATGCGTCCTCCCAGAGGGCAGTCGGAAACACCAATATGTTTTGTTATTTTCTGTGTTTAAGTTGTGAACTTTGTGTTGAGAATAAGCCTTTGAGCGTTTGAAAAAGTGCCTATCACCCGGGCATAGAACGGGTACTTCAACTAGTACATTATAAATATAATTACATTGAGTTAGTTGCCTTAAATGTCTGTTTGGAAATTTTTATTTAAACTCCTACATTGTTAGGAAACCTACAATTTCATATTTAGCAAAGCATGATCTGGAACGCTAGGTTTAGTTAAAGAAATTATTTTTACCCTTTTAGTGCATTTGACTAAAACCGTGTAATACAAAAATGTTTTGCATATTTTATTATCTTATTACATGCAGTAAACATAATTGCTAATTGCATGAACTCTTCTTTTTCTGAAGAAAACACATTTTTCAAGATTTCGCATATATATTACACTATACCTCTAGAAAACTGCACAAACTCTTTCCTTTCCTTCGAATAGGCTTTTACAGAAAAGTGTGTTGCAGAATGAAACAGCGTAATTGCAAGCAGTATTTGAGGAGCTTATTTAATAACGTAATATTTAGAAAAAAAATTTACCTGTGGATATTCTTGCCTATTCTATCATTAAAGTATTGTCTTAAATAATCTACAGATGAACTCTACTTTAAGTTGAACATAGAAAAGTCCATCCACAGAGAAACAGTTATTTCGTTTAAATTTTTCAAACCATTATGATAAAATTTACAGCCTGGAATAGGACTACAAAGGAATACTTATGATTACTATGGCAACACAACTAAATACAACACGCTTTCGGCAATAGATATTATCAGGTTCTGTGTTCCTCCTTACTTGCTTTGGGAACATTAAATGTCCTGACTCGGAACAGGGAGCTTGCTAAAGCTATGTTCAATAAATTTGGGAAGTAGACAATACACACAGGAAGGGTATACGAAACCCTTTATTTTTTCTCTCTTACAATGAATTTCCGTACTTCGGAATACAGAGACCAACCACTTGTGGTCTGAACGTAAGAATATAAAATATTAACTAAACTCTAACTAAACTTAACTTTGGATTAATAAACAAGTGCCTACTCCAAGATTGGCCGTATATTAACAGGAAAGCCGTATGTAGTACAGAGAACTGTTAACACTACAATACGTTTAAAATTATCAAGAGGATTAAAACCTCTGGCCTGGAAGGCAACCAGCAACCGAGTAAAACTTCTAAGGCAAGCGGCCTGCTTCTAATCACTCCTTCCTCTCTCTTGCTTGGCAAAAAGCCACAACTTAAGTACTTGGCGTTCGCCAGACAAATTTGCATAAATAAGTTAAAGCTTTTAATTCTGGCCGGAAGTAGAAAATAAGAAGTGATAGTAAAGATTTAAAATAAAATAAACGTTAGTAAAACTTAAGATCCTTACATACTTCCCGCCAGAGTTAATTAGTTTGAAACTGAGGTCTAAAACGACCTTGTTGAAAACTTTTAGCTCTAGAATCTAGAATCTAACGCGAGGCCAATCTTTTACAAACATTTCTCACTAGAAACTAGAAATTTAAAAAAAAATCGTTTTTTTACAATAGCAGCTCCATGGACAATTACTTTTCATCTGTACTGCATCTAAACAGGAGCTTTTAGTTCAAATCTGGTTCCTTCCAGAGATCTGGAAGGAAAACTAGTTTAATGAAATGTTACACAATGAAATGGCAAGTAACATGAATATTATATTTCTCTTAACATTCTTATTTCATTCATGACTTTATTTAATTATCTCTCCCGTGCTCTCTGACATGTGTTGTAAAAGAACAACACCAAACACGAATGTGTTTATGTACAAGTGTTCAACACTTCCTCCTACAATCAAAACACTAACGTGTTAAAATTCAACATAACAAGACCTCGTAACACACCCTATATTCAACTCTAAACCCTGAGGTACTATTCTGAAAGTGGCTAACTCTGAAGTGTAGCGTCAGAGAGCCTAACTACATTCATTCAACCTTTAACACATATTCACCATGATTTGCTCTTTTTACAGTCACACGAATAAGTTAAAATTTTTGGCATTACTTTCACTTTTAACCATATCACAGTATTTCTTAACATTTAAAAATAACAGTTCACATTGTATATAAGAACATATTAACATGCCGTTAATTTTACGCATTTTAAAACATACATTAGTAGTACATTGTTAACTTCTATTCTTTTCAAAGCAAGTGCCAATTCTTCTACATTGAAATACTACATTTCAAAAAGTCTTTCAGACTAAAACTTCTTTCTTTCTTGCCAGAATGTTTTTAAATAAAATTTTATACAATAACTTTTACAATATTTAAGTATTTACACATTCCTATTATACATCAACTTTAGTTTTACTCGCGAGTAATTGAAAAACATAATACCAAAATCGGTAACAACTCATTTCTCGCCTTTTGGCGATAAAGGTAGACCTCACATGAGGTAAAACTTCTTGAAATTCTGCCACTTGCAGTAAGAATGAAAGATTAACTTAAGTTTGCAAAGTAACATAAAATTTTACTTATCTTTGTGATATTCGGACATCCTTTTTTCTGGCCCAGTCCTGGAAGGTAGCGAAGATTACGGTTTGGTTTATCCTCCTTCTTGTGCGGGCTCGCCCTTCAGTTCCTTCCTCTATGAAGCTTTCTTTTCCTTCCAGTTCGGTCACCCTTGAAGACCTTCTTTTTAGCCTCTGCCTGTGGTCTTGGCC